ACACAATACAAGGGAAGTCAGCACAATTGAACTAAACCAAAAGCTAAGAAGCTTCCTGAACACAACCAAACACTTCAAGGGACAGAGTAACAGGAGTAGGGGTCTGGGGACCATGGTTTCAGGAGACATCTAGGTCAACCGGCATAACAAAGTTTATTAAGAAAATGTTCTGCATCCCACTTTGGTGAGTGGCATTTGGGGTCTTAAAAGTTAGCAAGAGCAGGAGAAAGGTGGAGTGCACAACTCAAATTCTAGTAAAAAGACCAGACTTAATGGTCTGACTGAGACTGGAGGAACCCCAGAAAGCAAGGCCCCAGACTCTCTGTCAACCCAGAACTGAAACAGTTTCCAAGGCCAACTCTTCAGACAAGGACTGGACTGGACTGTGGGACATAAAATGATACTCGTGAAGAGTGTGCTTCTTAGCTCAAGTAGATACATGAGACTAAACGGGTAGCTTCTGTCCAGAGGTGAGATGGGAAGGCGGAGAGGGTTAGGAGCTCGTTGAATGGACATGGGAAATCAGGGGCAGAAAGGAGGAGTGTGCTGTCACAGTATAGGGAGAACAACTGGGGTCACGTAACAGTGTATGCATATATTTTTGTATGAGAGATTAACTTGAATTGTAAACTTTCACTTAAACTACAACAATGAAAAAAAAAACAAGTTAGCAAGTAGCCATCTAAGATGCATCAATTGGTCCCAACCTACCTGGAGGAAAGGAGAATGAAGAACACCAAACACACAAGGCAAATATTAGTCCAAGAGACAAAAAGGGCCACATAAACCAGAGACTCCATCAGCCTGAGACCAGAAGAACTAGATGGTGCCCGGCTACCACCAATTACTACCCTGACAGGGAACACAACAGAGAGTCTCTGATGGAGCAGGAGAAAACTGGGATGCAGAACTCAAGTTCACGTAAAAAGACCAGACTTAATGGTCTGACTGAGACTGGAGGAACTACAGAAGACATGGCCCCCAGACTCTCTGTCAACCCAGTACTAAAACCATTCCTGAAGCCAACTCTTCAGACAAAGATTAGACAGACTACAGGACATAAAATGATACTCCTGAAGAGTGTGCTTCTTAGTTCAAGTAGGTACATGAGACTAAATGGGCAGCTCCTGTCTGGAGGTGAGAAGAGAAGGCAGAGAGGGTCAGAAGCTGGCTGAATGGACACAGGAGAACTGGGTGGAAAGGTGGAGTGTGCTGTCACATTACAGGGAGAGCAGCTAGGATCACATAACAATGTGTGTATAGATTTTTGTATGAGAAACTAACTTGAGCTGTAAACTTTCACCTAAAGCACAATTAAAAAAAAAGTTTGAACAATCAAGATAAAGCCTCTATCACAGCTTGTTCCTTCCACCTCTCCTTCTAGTTTCTCATTTCCAATTTTCTTTTTAAACAATTTAAATCTATAAGACAGCAATCCTTTTTTCTAAAGTCATTGTGGTAAAATACATATAACAAAACATTTGCAATTTCAACCATTTTTACATGTACAATTCAGTGATGTTAATTATGTTCACCATGTGCAACCATCACCAGTGTTTTCAAATTTCTTCATCACCCTTAACAAAAACTCTGTATACCTTAAGCAATACCTCCCCATTTCCTCTTTCCACCACCTCTTACTAATAAACTTTGGTCTCTATGCATTTATCTATTCTAGATATTTCATTTAAGTGGGATAATCTAGTATTTGTCGTTTTGTCTCTGACTTGTTTTACTCAGCATAATGTTTTCAAGGTTCATCCGTGTGGTAGCATGGATCAGGACTTCATTTCTCTTTATGGCTGAATAATATTCCATTGTATGTATATACCACATTTTATTTATCCATCCATTCATCTGCTGATGGACAACTTTGATTATTTTTAATTTGTGAACTAGAACTAGAAATAGGTCTGGAATATGTATTAGTCAGGGATCTATATGAGAGGAATATAATCTTCCATAGTCTAATTACCTAAGTAAACTGTTAGACGATGCAGACACAAATCACTCAGACAGATTACTCCTATAAAAGGGCTTAGTTCGGTAGATCTATAATTAAAATAACTCTGCCGGTAGCTAAATGCTTCTACCACATGCCTTCTAAAGACCAACAAATTGGCCCACCTTGCTAGAGTCAATTCTATTCCTCTCAACTTACAACCAATTTTAGAAGTCATTTAAATTCCACAAGACTTCTATTCTTGCTCTGATTCCAAAGTATATCCTATGTACCCACATGCTTCATACTGCTTTTCTGTAAAACATCCAATTCTGAACACGTCAGTGAACAAATTCAATCTTAAACTTTTACTGCACAAATCAGTTACCTTACATGTAATTATTTTGAGTTAATTATTGATATGAGAACATATCATATAAATAATAAAATCCTTTTTTTTTCCTCCTAAAAGCTATCTAAGTAATGAAAAGATAGGATGGGAAAGCTAAGGGAAACTTTTTTTCTAGGAAATAGATATAAAGGATTCATATGCCCTATCCCAGTATTACACATGGGGAAGAATTCAATTAACTGTTCTGTTGGAAAAAGTTATATATAGTGGAGTAACTCCTAGTGAGCTCTATTTAGTCATATACTAAAGAAGATGATTAAATGCAGCTTACTTTCTTATACTTGGCTTTAGGATGCAAACCCCTTTCTACAGCCATGGACCACTCTTGTTCCTTCACGGATTCAAAATAGAAAAAGGCTTCTGTGCTCAAGTCCAGCTCTTGGAATCTGAGAAAACAAGCGGATGTGAGCTCTATATGTATCCCATAATTATCTCTATCTCCTGTCCCATTTTCTGAAACAGTGGATGAAAAAAAGAATGGGTGGGGAGGTGGGGAGATAGAGTTTATAGAATTACTCTGTTCACCAGGTGATCAGAAAGGACAAATAGCTTTCTCTTCTAAAGACTCCCCAGCAGCATATTCACAGGCTATGCAAAAACAAACAAAAAACCTCCACAAGGGGTAATAGAACTTTGCTCTCATAGCTTAGAAACAGTCACTGTTAGAATTGACCTCAAGTCTCAGTTTCTATGAAGAATAGTTTTCCATGGGTTTTAAGAGTACTAGATGCTTCCTTACATCATTTTAGCTATCTCTTCTTTTCTAATCTCACAAATATGACCTATAAGTTAACTCTCACATGAAGCCCACCGGAGTTTTCTATATAATAGCTGAAAAAAAAAGGGGGGGGGAGGAGGGGAGGCAAACATCATGAAAATGAACACCAAGCATACAGCCAAAAGGAAAACTCCAGAAGTGTTCTTTACCCAACGCAGTAGATATCAGGAGGATTCGAATCACAGTTGAGCCAAGGTTCTAATCCACTATCTGGAGACTGACCATTCACGTTCCAAGTTCCAACAAAAAATCTAATACATAATACCAAAAAATAATTTGAAAACAAAGTTCAAGTATGAACCAACAAAGTTCTCTCTTATCACTTTTATACAAGGGTAAGTTCATAATAAGCTAACATAATTTCTCAAAACGTTTTGCCACACACAAAACAAAAACTTGAATCTAGAACACAAAAGCAGGAGGCTTATTTCCTCAAAATTTTACATTAAGTAAACCTACAGACAGGAACCAAATCTCTATTTAAAAAAAAGAAACTTAACTGCTCTATTACATTTCCTTTCAACTAAACTCCTTCCAAATTCATACTTGAAGGGAGAGCCTGTAGATAGGAAAGTGTTATCTTCATGCTGCAAGATAGTCGAATATGAATAGCTGTTTCATAAGGATCTGTAGTTGAAATAAAAAACTCACTTCCCAAAGGATTACAAGGACATCTGTGTAGAAAATTCTGATGAGGCATATATAATATTAAGGAAGAAAGCAGAAGGGAAAACTCATGACTGTCTTAATTGTTTATACACAAATACAGTCATCATGGGGAATATAGGGAACTGGAGGTTTTAGCATAGAGATATAACTATGACTGAACTGGAATAAATGAGGCATGATGGATAGCAGATGGAACTGGAATGTTGGACTAGAAGGGCACATGCTATTCATGAATACAGACCTCCCAATCAAAAGGAGACAAGTGGTGAAACTTTTCCTTAATTTATCAAAGTAAATTAAGATTTAGTCATGATGATGGACTTTGCTTTTCCAACATTTGCTGGAAAAAAATTCGGCAGGCCAGATAAACATGCTTGCTTATGGAATGTGCTACAGGACAATCGTCTACTACATATGAGCCTGATTTGGTTCTCTAAGAGTAGACAGAAACATTAGTAGGTGTGGTATTATGAGTGGTTAGGAAATCCAAGGGATTTTGGATTTGGATATGTAAGATACTGACCAGCAGAGAAACAAGGGCTTGAATCAGATGACCGTTCCTTCTTATCATGCTTTGATTCTTAATTAAGCTAATAACTTAAATGTCAAAAGGCTGTTTTCTACTATACCTACTACTCAGTAAGTAGAAGAGAGACTAACCTGAAAGTCTGAATGTTGACATATTCTTTCTCACGCTTTGCCAGGATATGTTTGATGAGACCCTCCCGCTGCCCAGACTGGTTACTTGGTACAAAGAGCTTCCGCATGGTGTTTGTCACTTTGGGCTGCTCCTTGTTAGTGGCTTCTTTTTCACGTGGAAGCCTTACAAATAAATGAGGAATTCAAAAGTAAAACTGCCTAAAATATAAGTCTCCTACATAGGAAATATGTCTCTGACATGGCACTTACATTCTATTGACAGAAGAGGGTGGGGGTGGGGGCTCCCGATGAGTCCCTGTAAGCTGATTTGGTGAATTTATTTTCTTGTCCAAATTCATTGATGAAAAGTTATCCTCAAATCCAAGAAGCCCTGAAGGACACAGAACCCAAAGTCAAAGGAGGAAGAAAAAAGCTAACATCCAAGATATCTAGGGTAGACAGGGCTAACAATTTCATCACTGGCATCACTACACAGAAAGGTACCAGAAAGGTGGTAATAACTTAAATTGGGGGAAAAAGCACATCTGTCCCTAAAGCAAGGACCTAACCTTCCGGGCAGCAGCCAAGTGCTTTAACCACTGTGCCACCAGGGCTCCTTAGAACAACAACAGGTTACATTATTCTGGGACCTGAATAATAATAGCTAGCATTTATTGAAGACTTAGCACAATGCCTTACATCATTATCTCCCTCGTCACAAAAACCTAAGAGCTAACATGCCACAGAAAGGCTTAAGAGTCACATTAGTCAGGGGCATGGGCTAGCTAAAACCACTCCATAGGAGAATGTGCCTGACACTGCCATTAATCTGTATCATTTCATCTGTCCGGATAAAATCGATTGACTCTGCAATGATCACAGCAACCAGGGAAAAAGAATCCTTTCAGTACCTGAAAACCCGGGTTTGTCTTTAGTGTCTAATTTCTGATACCAGCTGGATGAGTCTTTTTGCTCTGGAACAAGAAGTTGTAACTGAGCTGGAGAGAGAAAAGTCATGGTCAGAAACTGGGGATCCCTTCATCGAGCAGAGTTTACCATAATCAAAAGCTATTCACACAATACTCCTTAAACACAGAGGCCAGCACCATTCCTAAATGTAAAGGAAGAGCCTAAGAAAATGTATCTGCCATGACATTGAAGATTCTGGAAATTGGTTCAAATTGTCCTTAAAGCTGAATAAGCTTGTTTCCTAATCTATCCCTGGGTTCATCCCCTAAAGAAAAAATAAAATAATGATTAAGGCCTAAAGGGTGAGGTACTTTGCTAACGGCCACTTGCCTCTGTATCCACATGTAAGGACTTCACTCCTATTTAAATTGAAGAAAGAAAGTTGCTGAGTCTTGAGTTACCTTCCTGAGCAGCAAGGACCTCTGAGAGGAACTTCAAGCAGTGTTCCTCATCAGGGATTTCAAAGCGGCGCTCTCTGGTCCGGTCCCCCTGAACCCGAATTTTGCAGCCACCTAAAAAGAATTGAAATCCACACATACATATAGCTATGAAACACAATGTTTTATTGTGATCATATCCTCAACTTAGAAGGTTAACAGGAGAAGGTCCAGATCACAAATATTCCATACCTCTAATGTAGGAAGCATATATACAAGATCCAGGGATTCAGTGTGGTGGAGAGTGGGGGGAGAGGATGCAGAGAGGGAAGCCTAGGAGAAGTTAGCACACCTAAAGGCTGACGAACTGTGTCAATGAGTAACTCGATATAGTGATAAGATACATATTGAAATCATAGTTTCCTACATTTGCTATCTCTCTCAGATGTAAGCGCAGGGACCTCCAAACTCTAGCAAAAGATACATTCCCCAATTGTTCCCCTTCCATCCTCTGGCTGGAAATCCCTACCATTATAAATCCAGATCACGTACCTGAAGCATGAAAAGAATAAGGAACAATGGCTTGTTCATAGGTACAGATTCTACCTGGGTTAACCAATTTACAAACTAATTTAAAAAATGAATAGTGGGATTGGTCCAAATTATTCTGAAAAGTAGCCACTACATCTCATTATCTCAAGTGAAAAACATATGTCTTGAATAAACTTACCAAGGCAGTACAATGACCTCTGTCCAGTACTTGTTTGGTTAGAGTAAAAAGCTGTTGTTGTCAAGTCGATTTCAACTTATAGTGACCCTATAGGACAGAGTAGAACTGCTCCATGAGGTTTCCAAGGAGCGGCTGGTGGATTTGAACTATCAACCTTTTGGTTAGCAGCCTGAGCTCTTAACCACTGCGCCACCAGGGCTCCATGGTTCAAGTATAGTCAATTGGAAAATAATGTAATTAGAAGCAAAGTTATCTAGAGCTTTAGTTTCTTATGTGTATAACATATTATCTCCCCTTTTCTGATGCCTTATAGCTATCATCTGTATCAATCATTTGGACATGGTGATCCAAGAAACCTATGTCCTTGTTTATGACTGTAACTGATTTATTACATGTATTGCTTTCTCATGCCCCACAAAACTACAAACTCTTTGAGATCAAAAGGTAGGCTTGCATATACAGATTATCCAACACAACAGTTTCGATGGTCTAGGGTAACCAACTGTTTGTTTGTCTGGGACTGAAGGGTTCCCGGGATGCAGGACTTTCAGTGCTAAAACTAGGAAAGTCCCAGGCAAACTGTGGTTGGTCACTTGACTGGTGACAGTGATGCCAGACTTCAGACAGGTAAGGCATTTAACAAGTGACTGCTCAATTGGTCTCTTAACACTTGAAAATAACAAAGAAATATGAAATTCTTAGTTTCTTATGGTGGAAATGCACTTCTGAATCTTTGGCTTTTTTCCCTTTGTATTTCCTGATGTTTTTCTCTTCACAGTTTGGGTTAAAAAAGGAAAATAAAAGTAATGATCCAAACCAAACCAAACTCGTTGCCGTTGAGTCGATTCTGACTCATAACGACCCTATAGGACAGAGTAGAACTGCCTCATAGGGTTTCCAAGAAGTGGCTGGTGGATTCAAACTAGCAACCTTTTGGTTAGTAGCTGTAGCTCTTAACCACTGCGCCAACAGGGCTCCACGAGATAAAAATAGAGGGGAAAAAAAAACAAAAAAGAAGGCACCCAAGTGGACCAGAGATAAGAAAACTAATGAGAGTGCCACAGTAAGGAGAGAGGGAATGAATAGACTGTTTCAATTAGGAGCAGCCTTAAAGATACAGGGGAAAACTCCTTCAGGGCATAACAAGTCCTCCCTTTCTCAGATAATTTATACTAAAAGTAGCAGAAAAAAGAGCAGTTTCTATCTGGTAGAAATTTAGAACAAGAACACATAACCTCTCTCCCACAATACTTGAACGATATATTTTAGCAAATACAAAAATTAAACTGAAACTGACCCATTTAATGGCCAAAAGATTCCAGAAATTGCTTACAAAGTAACACTGGATACTATCTCACCACGAAGCAAGGGAAAGAGGACAAACTACTCCATGACCGAACCATCTCCTCTTTTTCTCCCTTCTAACACCTTCTGGGCCTCCAACAACCTATAACCTCAACTTCTCTGAAAACTACTCCCTTCACCGCTCAGCAGTTCTCAACTATGGACGTGCTGGAATCACCAGAGGTGCTTCTAGAAAAACCTGACACCTAGGCCCCACCCCAGGCCAATTAAAACAATCTCTGGGGATGAAGTCCAGGCACTGGGAGTGTTTAAAACACTCCCCAGGTGATTCTAATGTGCATCCAGATTGAAAACCAGAGTCAATTGAAAACCTGCTGGTCCCTAAGAATAGAATGCCCCTGCAGCCCTCTTAGGTGAAGGCTGTTTATAGTCCCTCACACCCTGTGTAATTTAAGGTTGGTGTCCTTATTTTTCCTAATGCTACCTCCAGACCATTCCTTCTCCTCCCTGAGGAAAATCCTTACTCCTTTGTGGCTTACCCATTGAGCTATATTATCTTCTTCCCTTCCTTCTTCTTCAATGAGATCATCTACCATACTCCCAGAAACTTATGAATCCAGGATTCAACACTTGACTCAAAAAACTTCCTCTCCGTTCAAACTCCTGCCATTATTTTTGGGTCCCTTCAAAATTAGCATGGAAAGCCCAGTCAACACCCTTGACTTCCTCATCCAACAGCCTTCCCTCTCCCCCTCAGCCACCTACTTTCCATCGTAGAAACCTTTCCATCGTAGAAACACCACCATCTCATAAATCTCTAATTCCAGTGTCCCACTCTGACCTGCTATTCCTTCCAGCTTACTTTCTCATTACCTGCATTATAACTGTTCTTTAGCTTCATGGGAACCTACTGACCTCTCCACTTTCTCACTACCCATCAGCTCCCTCCTGCTTTCACTTCCCTTTTTATCAAACAGATGCCATTATTCCACTCTTGGAAAAACCCGAAGTGCCTTACCTGGCTAAATTCCAAACCTCAGAATCCAACTAACTGCCTTCTCTGTACTTTTATCTGAGCAATGAGAGGGGGTGAACACACACAGGCATGCAAGCAAGCAGGCAGAATGCTATCATTATAAATTCTTGATTGCCAACCTCAACTGGGCCCTCTATGATAGGAAGCAATTTTAAGTTTCTGTAGTCAACTAGTCTCCTACTATCCGGAACAACTATTTCACACCTTCTCCTCTTCTCAATCCCTCTCATTCCAAGCAGCTTACTTCAGTTCCTCCTTCAGAGAAAACAGAAGTCATCACAGGGAAACCTACCTGTACTTGCACTCATCTCCTTTCCCTTCTGATACAAGGAAGGAGGATTACTCCTATCACAGGCTACCTTTACTTTGAATTACAACCCCTCTGATCTCTCAGAAATCTTACACTCATGCCCATCCCCCACCCTCAATATCTTTAACATTTCGCTTTCACAGGCTCCTTCCCATCATGCTCTAAGTCCTTCTCATTTAAAAAAAAAACCTTCTTGGATTCCATATTCCCCTCCAACTCCAGTCCATCTCTATATTATCTGGCTCCACAATCAAGCTTTAAAAAACACAAAGTCACTACTTGCTCCCTTCCCATTTCTCTCTTTAATCCTTCCCAATATGATTTTTACTCCCACCACTCCTCTGAAATTGCTTTGCCAAGGTCACCAATAACTTCCATATAACTAAATCCAGTGGATACTCTTCAATCAACTCACTAGACCTATCAGCTCTTCTGAAGGCTTCCATGATATCATACTCATCTAGTTTGTCTCTCTCTGGTCACTAATTTTTTGTACCCTTGGTATCTCCTCCTCTATCTAACTTTTAAAAAGTAGAATTCGTTAGGGTCCATTCCTAAACTCTTTTCTCACTCTATACCAGCGCTGTCCAATAGGACTTTCTGTTATGATGGAAATGTTCTACAAGTGTGTTGTCCAATAAGGTAGCCGATAGCCACTTGTGTCTAATGAGCACTTGAAATGTGGCCAGTGCAAGTGAGGAACTGAATTTCTAATTTAATTTTTAATTAATTTAAATAGGTAGATGTAGCTAGTGGCTACCATACTAGATAGCACAGCTTCATATGCAATCACATCACCTCTTATGGTTTCAAATCCCATTTAGTGGCCCAGACCTTTCTTCTAAGCTTCAGATGCCTACATTCAGCTGCCAATTTAACATCTACACTCAAACGTCTCAAAAAAATTCAAGTAAACATGACCAAAACTGAATTCATGACCCTACTAAAGGACAATTTATTCCTCCTGCAATGTTTCTTATTTCTGCAAATGGCAATATCAACCACATTCACGCCAGAAACCTGGAATTCATCCTCGAGACCTCTCTTCCTCTGATTCCCTATACCCAAATCAATTCCTGTTATTTTTACCTCAAATCTGTCCACTTCTCTCCATTTCTACTGCCACCATACTCTCTAGCATAAACTGCTGAAACAGTCTGCTAACTGAACTCTCTGCTTCCATGTAAATCAGATGACACACCAGCATAAAATCCTTCATATTCTTCCCATTTTTAAAATCTAAAAATCCAGATTCCTTACCATGGCTGACAAGCGCTTGCCTGCCTTACCTTGGTGCCCAAGTCTCACTTGTTTCAGGCACTCTGGCCTTTCATTTCAGAGAAAGTGCCAAGCTACTTCCCAACATAAGGAGCCCCGGTGATGCAACTATTAAGTGCTTCACTACTAACCTAAAGGTTGGCGGTTTGAACTCATCCAGCGGCTCTGCGGGAGAAAGACCTGGCGATCTGCTCCCGTAAAGATTACAGCCTAGAAAACTCTATGAGGCAGTTCTACCCTGTCACACGGGGTGGCTATGAGTTGAAATCAACTCAATAGCACCTAGCAACAACAACTTCCCAACTTTGGGTCTTTGCCTGGAATACTCTTTCCCTCATCTTCATCCAACTTATACTTAGCCTCTCTGGTCTCAGTTTAAATGTCACTTCCTCAAAGAGGCCTTCCCTGACTGACCTGTCTAATTTAGTTACCCCTCTTATACACTTTTCGTACTTCTTGATAGCATTTATCAAAACTGCGATTATGTAAGTATCTATACCTTATTGGTTTAAAGTTCATTTCTTGTACTTAAGTTCCACGAAGAACCATGATTATATTGTTTTCTGGTATATCCACACAGCCTAGCACAGTGTGTAGTCCATAAAAGGTATTCATATTGTTATAGAATGAATTAACGAATTACAGGCACATATGTGACACTAGTACCAAACAGCACAGAAGAAGGAAGCAAAGAAGGAGCAGCAACCTTATCTATGTTGGTCGCCATGATTCTGCAGCAGTTAGAACCAAAACCAAAACCAAAACTCACTGCCATCTCATAGCAACCCACAGGGTTTCCAAGGCTGTAGTCTCTACAGAAGCAGACTGCCACACCTTTCTCTCGTGGACCACTGGTGGTTTCGAACCACCAACCTTTCAGTTAGCAGTTGACTGCTTTAACCACTGTGCCACCAGGGCTCCTTAAAATAGTGCCTCGCAAATAGAAAGCACTCAACGAATATGTGTTGAATAATGAATAAATTAGGGAGAATTTAATATTAGGAATTAGTATAACATAGTCCATCAGTAGGTCAAATATGGAAGGCCAATATAATCACCTGCACAAATACTGAAAAGACACTTGATAAAACTCAACATGCAGTCATGATTTTAAAAAACACACAAACTTGAAATAGACGCAGTTTTGTAATATGGTAAAAAAAACAAAAACACCTCTCTAATTAACAGGCAATAACATCCTTAACACTGAAAAATCATTTGAGGCTTTCTCACTAAAATCAGGAGCTAAACAAGGATCATCAGCATTATTTAACACTGGTCCCAAAATTCTCAGACCTACTATAAAGGAGACAAAATTGTTATTGGAAGATGATTAGGGATGTCTACCAAAACCAAAAAACAAACAAACAAAAAAGGATCTAAAATAAATTTCAGTGAAGTTGCTGGATAAAAGATAAATATCCAAAACATCCAAACTCCCTGAGGGACTGAATTGCTGGGCGGAAGGCTCTGGGGACCATGGTCTTGGGGAACATCTAGCTCAACTGGCATGACACAGCTTATAAAGACAATGTTCTACATTCTACCTTGGTGAGTAGTGTCTGGGGTCTTAAAGCCTGTGAGCGGCCATCTAAGATACTTCACTGGTCTCATCCCTTCGGGAGCAAGGGAGAATGAAAAGAACAGGATACAAGGAAAAGATTAGTCCAAAGGACTAATTGTCCACAGCTACCAAGGCCTCCACCGGACTGAGTCCAGTACAGCTAGATGGTGCCCGGCTACCACCACTGACTGCTCTGACCAGGATCACAACAGAGGCTTCTGGACAGAGCTAGAGAAGGATGTAGAGCATAATTCTAACTCACAAAAAAAAGACCAGATTTACTGGCCTAAAGGAGACTGGAGAAACCCCGAGAGTATGGCCCCCAGACACCCTTTTAGCTCAGTGGTGAAGTTACCTCCGAGGTTCACTGTTCAGCCTGGGAGTGGACAGCCCCATAAAACCAAATGAGACTAACGAGGTACAGGAGTCCAGTGACAAGGGCCAGAAGGCAGAAGGGGACAAGGAAGCTGGTGATAGGGAACCCAAGTCTGAGTAAGGATATTGTTGATGTGTTGTGAGATTGTTAACCATTGTCATAGGGCAACATTTGTAGTAACTGTTAAATGTGAAACTATTTTGTTCTGTAAGCCTTCATCTTAAGTGAGAATAACAGCACAATTCGAAGAGCGTAGTCAATGTCACTGAACTGTGCCCGTAGAAATTTTTGAAATGGTGTATCTTTGGCTATGTGTATTTTCAAAAAAAAAAGAGGTTGAGAAGTTAGAGGGTTGATATGTTGTGGGGTTGTTAACCAACGTCATAAAACAACATGTGTACTTCTGTTTCATGAGAAACTATTTGTTCTGTAAGCCTTCACCTGACGTACAATAAAAAAAAAAGATAAATATCCAAAACACAATAGCTTTTCTGTAAACTAATAATAAGCAATCAGAATATAACAGAAAAAACATTACACTTACGATATCAGCAAATAAACAGGTAAAATCCACCTTAAAATACTTAACCTAAAAAATTGCATATAATGAAAATGTATTACCTTTATAATCAGGAAAAAATATTTAAAAAACATTTATTATTAACATCCAGGCAATGGGAAAACACTAATTTACAGTAAAATCAGGCCTGCCATACAAATCCAGGGTCCCCCAGCTGCAACATGCTGTGTGTCCTGAAGGTTTATGTATGAAGCCCAAGGATCAAGATAAAATCTAGTTTCAGGGCCTTACCCATTTCCATCAAGTAGATTCTGACTCAGAGAGACCTATACGGCAGGGTAGAACTACCCCCATAGGGTTTTCAAGGCTGTAATCTTTACAGACGCAGACTGCCATATTTTTCTCCCGTGCAGCAGCTGGTGGGTTCGAACTGCCGACCTTTCGGTTAACAGCCGAGCACTTTAACCACTGTGCCACCAGGGATCAATGAACAGAAATAACAAAGGATTTTATTCAAGTGGTTACTCAACTATGTTCCCCCTATGATCCAGTATTTTGAACTCTGGACACAGCAGTGCATGGCTAATTTCTACAATGCAGGAGAGGTTACAACAAAACTAATGCGGTAAATTAGGTGTTTGTAAGAGAAAAGGCACAGCTCAGTTTAACTCTTCAGCTTTGGATCAAATACCTAGTTCCACACCAAGAACTGGACATTTCTGTATCTTATTTCAGCAGCGATGTCAATCGCTGCTAAACTGCCCTTGCTCTAATTTTGCTTTTTCAGTGTTGTTTTTCCTTCTCCTTTCTAAGCAGAATAGGACATAGATATTAAGCTATTTTCTCTCTTGGATACCTGCAGTAGAAGTCAGCAGCTGGGTTTACTTAGCCTTTCAGGATCAGCCCTTAAAGCTCCTAAAATCCATGACCAAAGAAAATAATAATAAAACCAGAATCAGAAAAAGCCTACTTAAACAGGTCAATACAAATTGATGGTGCTCAGGGCAGGGACCGTGTTTAAACAGAATTATGTCTAGCCCATAGCCCCTTGCTAAGCGCCAAGCCCCACTCATCCCAGTATTAGCTGATAAGGCAACCTGTTTGATTTATATTCATGTGGTCAGATACTCTTCTCTATAGTAACCTCAAAGTAGTCACGGTAGCTGAGTGCCCATTTTCTCTTCTCCACAACACAGTACAATTAAATGATAAAGAACAGCTTGCACAGAAAGTCAGTGATGATTTGCTTCAAACAGATAAAAATGAGAGAACAGAGACAGCAAGAAGATCGTGTTCCCTCTGATAAAGAATCAGATGTCTTGAAAGGACCAGCCATAAATACAAGACAAAAAATATTTCAAGAAAAAAAGTATGCTGAGGACAAGTAATTTAACAGACTCTCCAGTCTCTCAAAATAATATAATAATGGAAAACAAAAATAATAATAGGGTAAAAAAAAAAAGCTGAAAACATTAACAGCAGTGAAAAAAACACCAACCAACCCATAAACCTCAGGTGCTTTAAACATTTTACTAGCCCTTCCTACAATTATCAATTCCACAACAATGATTTAACTGATAGCAACAATACCGGTAGCTTAAAGACGTTCAGCCTTAGAAAAGCAGATCATATTTTCAGTTTTTATAAAGATTCTTGCCAGCTTAAATGTTTTTATTAGCATTCCTCCCAATGCTAATATGTATGGCTGCTTTAAGAAAATGAAGACTAAGACAGGATAAGATGGCAAAATAAAAGATGTGCCAAAAAAAGGTGTCTTAAATATAGTGGGTATTCAAGCAAGTATTTGTTGAATGAAAATCAGCTCCATTCAGAAAGATACTCACTGTTTGAAGCTATGTCAATCAAAAGAGTTTCTTCTGCTTCTGAGGGGGATAAAAAAGAACAGGATCAGGAAAGAGAAAACCATTCATTACAACCAAAAGGATTACATGCCTAACTAAATAACTGCTTCTCTTAGTCACCACTCCTAGGTCTTAGAACACATTCAAAAAAATCCTGTGCTTCTTTGTTTAGCATTTTTTTAAAAAAGGATTTTAATAGTACTATACTGTAAACATTATGAGCAATTCAACTAAAAGGAAAATGAATTGAAAAACTAATCAAATACCCATAGCCATCGAGTCAATGTCAACTCATAGCGACCCTATACGACAGAGTAGAATTTCCTGACAGGGTTTCCAAGGCTGTGAATCTTTATAGAAGCAAACTGCCCCATCTTTCTCCCGCAGACCAGCTGGTGGGTTTGAACTGGCGATTTTTTTGGTTAGCAGCTAAGTGCTTTAACCACTGTGCCACCAGGGCTCCTATAGTAATCAGATAGAACTCCTCAAAGTAAACTGGGATGACAAATTAATAGTAGGGAACATTAACAACACGTTAATAATTCCTCTCAACTATAACATACTGATTTAAGATGATCTAACCGTCATTTAGATACTTCTTATAGAAGGCCAAGGAGGTGACCCCAAAGGCCCAGAAGTGAATTACTTTCTTAACTCAGCTCTAGTCTTTGAAATTTCCTAGTGATCTCAGTATTTCTGCCCCTGCCTGGAACAAAAGAGTACCAGTATACCTGAAGCTCTTTGACTGACTTCAGGTTACAGTTAACACCCGTGGATCCAAGATCCATAGTACCCAACAGGAAGTATAAAACAGGGCAAAGCACAGTATCCAAGTTCTGAGTTCTCCTATCTCTCGATAGCTCTTTTGGACTTCCTTCCTTGCCTCTAGTGTCTAGACCCAACTTACTTCTTCCTCTCTGACTTCCCCTGCCAGACCCTCCTAGAGAGCTGAACTCTGAGTACTGACTCCTTTGGATTAGGCAGATCTACCTTGGACAGATGGAGTAGTCTCAGTCTTTTCTAGTTCCCTCACTAGACTGTACTAGTTCCCTCACTAGACTGTATATTTGGCTCCCTTATTCAGGTACAATAGAAGCAACTGGTAAGTGCTATGGATTGAATTGTGTCCCCCAAAAATGTGTGCCAACTTGGCTAGGCCATGATTCTCAGTATTGTGTGATTGTCCAGCATTTTGTTACCTGAGGTGATTTTTTAATGAAGCAGGATTACAGGCAGTTATGTAAATGAGTCAGGACTCAAACTACAAGATTAGGTTGTCTCTTGGGTCAATCTCTTTTGAGATAGAAAAAAAGAAGAGAGCAGAGAGACAGGGGAACCTCATACCACCGAGAAACAAGAGCCAGAAGAATAGTGCATCCTTTGGACCCAGGGTCCCTGCACTGAGAAGCTCCTTGACCGGGAAAGATTGATGACAAGGACCTTCCCCCAGAGCTGACAGAGAGAGAAAGCCTTCCCCTGGAGCTGGGACCCTGAATTTGGACATCTAGCCTCCTAGACTGTGAGAGAATAAATTTCTCTTTGTTAAAGCCATCCACTTGTGGCATTTCTGTTATAGTAGCACTAGATAACTAAGACAATAAGGAACTGAGTAGGCTAATATAAGAAAATAGTCTTATTACTACTCCCAGCATGATGCACCAAGGGTAAGTAGGGCACCAAGACACAGGTATCATACGTTCACCATTGTTCACCAGTAACTTTTAGTTTTATAAAACCTGAGTGCTTATAGACAATTTTCAAAATTGATGTACAGGTCAGGAAAAAGAAAGGATGTGAAAACTCAAAGGAAGTAACTGTTCCTTTCATCATGGGAAACTACCGTGTGCATGCACACATATTTTCCCAGGTTCCAAGGAGAAGCATCACAATCTACCAATCTGCTATTTCTTATTAAAAACAATGCTAAGAAACAGAGTAAATGAGACCTTAGAAATAGTACGAAAAGGTACAAAGCTAATAGGATACTAATCTGAAGTCATGTTCTTTGGCTTTTCTCCTCCTTAAAGGGCTGGGTATGTAATAAAGGGTGCTACAAAAATTAGGTGACCACAGCAACTTACTAAGGCATGCAGGTCCCTTGTTTAAATTTCTTTCACACATGGCAAGCTAAATTTCATTCTTCTATACAATGTGGAGACTATTCATTGCAGATATTTTTAATTCCTAATACATGCTGTCTTAAAAAAGAAAAAACCATACCCTTAGTATTTCCACTTACAGGAGTATATCCTAAACAAAGAGATGCGCAGGAAGATTTATGTATAGAGATGTTCACATTATTATTTATACTAGTGAAAAATAAGGAAAACAAAACAATGTCAAACACAGGTGAATAATTAAACTATAGGCCATTCATAAAATGGAATACTATACAGTTACTAAAGGCATGGAAAAGAGCTCATAACATGATGGCATGTGGAACAGACAAAAAAACTGTATATACAGTATGAATCACACCTACCCTGAAAGTTACATGCGTAGAAAAAGAGAAAAAACCGTATTTCTCTCTCAAGGATGGGATTTGGGCCACTTATTTTCTTTATACTTTTCTATAATTTCCAAACTTTTTACAGTATGTATATTACTTTTGTAATCCAAAAAAAGAAACAAAAGTTAAATGTAGATTAAGGAAAAAAATCAGTGCAAGATAGGATTCAACTACAATCTTCCTGAGGCCCTCCTCAGGTTTCCCAAGAAACTGATACACAAATGTTGCTGCTTGATGCAGCCAGTGGACCCACTGGAAACATAACACATGTGTTCTCTAGTAATCAATTTATTTCCCTTCCAGAGCAATTTGAGATAACAGAAGCAACACTTCCTACACAAACTTCCCAATTTTTGAGTTTCATTGTAGCAGATGAAACAACAGATTGTCTGTTCTCAGTCCCCAAATCCGAGGGCAGGAAGCCAAATACTTCCTCCCTGGAGTCTATTTTCTTATGAGTCACCAATGTCAAGGTTTGAGAGTCAGCATAATTGAGTGTAAGGTATTACAATTTGGCGAGGCTTGTTGCCAAACGTTTTAATTTCAAATAGTGTAGGAAGAAAGTGCTGAATGTGTGTGAATCCAGGCGACCTCGATACTCTATAGTGAGTAGTGTGTCAGTTAAGTCCAAGAACGTCATTTAAATCCAGATATAGGTCAGTCAGCCTAAAAGACTATATACATAGGTAAGAGACTACATACATCTCTAACCCCAGCCAGAGAAACACGTGAGACAACATATATATATATAGTTTACTATAACCCGTCAGTACTCTTAGACAAAGCATTATCATTCTCTTGATGGTAGATTAGTAATGTTAGCTTTTTATGCAAAGAGTAATACATTTCATTTTACTTGGAATGATAACTTTTCGATATGTATAGTATTATGCAATGCGATAATGACCAAGGAAAACATTATAAAATTAGCTAAGCAATTACAGCAAGTACCTTGAACACATCTGAAGTGGCTATTTATAGGAATGATATCTTGAACATGCTGTTCCTTTTCGTGCAACTGGATTATTAACCTAGGAAACAGAAGAACGTATCAACGAATAATTTATTGAAAAACCCAGACATTTAGCAATAAAACACAGCGCTGTCTTGTTATATAAATCTAGCCTGTATTTATTAGACTCCCTATATTTAGTTCTCTGGATCTGAGCGTTATGACAGCTAGATATTGCTCTAGTTTTAAAAAAGATGTTAGTGGTGATCAATGTCTGAATACCCACAGTCCTATATGCCATAAAAAAAAAAAAAATCTAACAGTGTATGTCCAAAAAACAGCTTACAATTTTAAGAGCATGAATTATAGATGATACACCTTCAGAGTATGCACACCAGAGTGAAGAACTAACAGCTAGATGTGAATTCCACGAGGGCAGGGACTATGTCTGTCTTCTCACCACAGTATTTCTAGCACCTAGCACAGTGCCTGGCATATAGAAGTTGATCATGTTTGCTGAATGAATGAATTAGAAAATTCATACACTAGCTTTCCAATCACACTCCCATGGCTTTTACCAAAGAATGGTTCTACTTCTTCAAACAAGCATGCAGGTTCATGGAAAAGAGGAGGTACCCAGCCCGCCAGATCAGTCCAAATAACCGCAGTGACCAGCAAGGTAGCAGATACCACAACCAGGCTGACTTCACATCTCTTTGTGTTTTTACTTTGGTTTCCAACTTTATGCTGGTATTTCTAAATAGGGATTACTGAACCTGACTCCCCAGTATGAAATGCAAGACTTCCAAAATCCATATGCACTCCTGAAATAGTAATTTTCGTTTATTACTTATCTTTAGTGGCCCAGAATCAAGGTATAACCTATGGTAAATAGCCATTCTGAAGGTCTCCTAGCTTTCCCAAAGTTGAGCAGTCTTCAGGGGGTTCTTTTTGCCAGAAATGCTCCTCTCTTTTTTTCCTGGAGAATGTCTACTTATCCTTCAAGGCCCAGCTCAAATATCACCTCCTTTGTGAAGCTTTTCCCAGTGTCCCCAAGCAGAACCAGTGGCCGTGTCTCCTTTCCTTGCCCCTCTAGTACAGCACGTTATTTACAGTTATGTTTCCCCATACTCTGTTATAGATATATTTATTTCCCCTCACTGTTTTGAGCTCCTTGAAAGCAAGGACCCTATCATATGCAGTTTTGTCTCCTGCCTAGCAGGTGTTCAATAAATATTTGTTGAATAAATGAACTAGCTTAACTAAGCTATAAACAGGCTAATTTTTAAATATGACTGTTCAACTTCTGACATTAAAAATATTTGTTTCGAAGGTTTTGATTTCTATTTTGTTGTCTTTTGGGGGACTTACTGTTTTAGCTTTTTGGATTTTTTTTCCAAATGTGTTAATTTTTAAGAGGACAGCCTGGGGAAAGGATTGCTTAGATATAACTAAAGAAAATAAAAATACTAATGCTGTCTTTCTGCTATGATCTTGTTTGCCTAATTTGCCTAATTTGCATTTTAAGGCAATTGGAGAAAATGGGGTAGGCCTTTTTCAACCTGGAAAATTCATAATTTGATCAGAGACCCCTGTAAACCCAGATAGAGACAAGAAACTTGATAAAAGGCTTATAAATCACGGGTCAAGGAGGAAGAGCTTACTTTGAGGAAAATTAACATAAACCAATATACGTAATCTCAAAATAAATAAAGTAGGCTAGAAATGGTGTTGAACTTTAGCAGAAAGTTTCAACTAGACTGTAATGTTAAAAACCATCACAAAGCAAAGAAACTGTGGGAATTGAAGTCAATTCCACAAACATTTATTGAATACTACATGTTAGTCACTAAACAAACTATCGTAAAAGAGTAGGGCTAAAAATAAGCATAAAAATTCTACCTAAACATAATCATTCATTTCAGAACAGAAAGATTTTTTTAAAAGGTATATGGCAAAACAATGGAATCAGAATTTAGTAGTTTCAAACAGAAAAGAGTATTCAACAAACTGTCAGTGTCAACTCAGCATTATCTCTAGGAGAAAAATGCCTTCGATTTGTTCTGGGAAGGTTTAAGGTGAACCAACAGCTTCTATCATAATCTATTATCCATGAAAAAACTGAATCCTAGTGTTTGATTCCCCATTTCCAAAAAACTTATTTTTAACTGTAATTTTGGCCTCTCAAATAAAGTTCTCCTACGGTTGTGAGCAAGAGCTACAGACCTAAAGATTAAGACAGGATTCAAGTTCTAGGATAAAAAGGCCAGAAGCTTAAAAAAAAAATTCTGGATACTCAAGTCAGAGAAGGTACCCTAAAGACATGAATTTGAGATTATAGATAGTATTATAGCATTAGGGGGACTCCAGGAAATGATTTCCAAAAACCTTCTCAGATAATGTATTTCTGAGATAGGTTACTGACTGAGACTGAAGCCTCCCTACCAAGCTGGGAGGCAGCATGGAATAGCAGTTAGTTGAAAGCTGGGGCAGCAGAGCTATGTTGCAGAGGTTCAAAACTCATCTATGATACTTCCTGTGAACAAAGGACTTAACCTCTCTGTACCTCAATTTCTACACCTTTAAAAGGTGGATGATGATGATCATATTGCTATTTCATCATAATCCTCATATGAGGGCCAAATGAACTGATTCATGAAAAGTGCTTTGAACATATTAAGCCATTAAATGATGGTTGTTGCTATAGTAACTTATACAGAACTGGAACACAAGAATTTGATTTCTCCATGAAGAGGATACAAATAGGAGAGCTATCATTGTGAGTTTAAAAGTACTTCTAGTACAAGAGCTTAGATTGGATGAGGCACTTATTTATCTCAAGACCAGCTGCTCACTCATTAGCTGAATAGAGTTCCAAACCTACAAAACCAAGGAACCAGATCCTGGACTGTGGTCATCTCCATAGGGGATCCATTTGATTTAATCCCCATAATCTTGTTTTTACAGAAGAGGAAGCTGAGGCACAAAACATTTACTGGTTTGCTCAAAGGTCACATTTCAAAAGTGGCAGAACTGAGAATTCAACCCAGGTCTGTGGATTCCACATCCATTGTTCTCTCCACCCCATGTTAGCCTTTGGAAGTGCAGTGGGATTCCAGGTTTCAATCCATTTTTCTGTTGAATTTGGTTTTACTAAACTGGTCTTCCAGGGTATGAGGAAATTGGAAAAATAACATGAATTTCACACATCAACAGAACTGATCAAGCAGGACCTAGGGAAGAGCTAGTTCATAGAACCAGATGATGTCCAGTTAAAGTGGTTCTAATAGTCTCAGAAGAGGGCAGGGTAGGCCAGTAGGAATTTCTTCTGTGTAAATTAGATAGCCAGACACAGACTGAGTCTGGAGATTCTGAAAGTGGGGGCTGAGAGAAATTGTTTTTAGGCAGAATCCAATATTGGGAGATTGCAGGATTTAAGGGGTTGACACTTAAACTCAGAAGAAATCAGTGGCTACCCCTGGGAGGTGACTTGGGCACACAGGGATAGGGACCTCTAATATGTTGTGGTCACCACGGATACTTTTGAGATGAAGCGTTAGTGGCAAGGGAGTGAGATTAGCAGTTATAATGATAGCTTATCAAAATAATCTTTTCATCAACCCACCACCAGTATTTACTGAGCTCCTATGTGCAAAGTGCAAGGTGACATACACTGATAAAATGTCAAATGTCATTTATACTGCTACAGATTTCATTACCTTTTCTCTCTCACAGTCAAGTCAATGTGTGAGGCCTCCACTAGACCACTACTGAATTAATGACTGTGCACGCCTTACAGCAAGTTGAAAGCTTTTGAATTTTGTGGAATGGGGGCTGGGGAGACTGGAGGAACCAGTTGAATGGGGTTAAGAAAAGGCAATTTTGTAACTTTTACAGTGAAGCATTTCTATAGCACTTTCAGTTTCTGTAAAACACTTTCCCATTTATTATTCCCCCAGTTATAACTCCAAAGGCTATAAAGTAAGGCAGTTCATATTTTTACTTAAGTGATGAGGACACTAAGCAAGCCTTATTGACTTGCCCAAGGTTACACAACACATGTCAGTTGCAGGGGCAGGAACTAAGAACCCAGGCTTCCTTTTTCCCTGCCCATTGAGTCCTCCCACTGATCCACACTGCCTGGCGCAAACAAGCGGCTTGGAGATTCAGGGCACAGCCCCGTCGTTACAGAGCACTCACGCTTCACACCTGGACCTGAACCTGTTGCCCGCGTGGCCTCGGTGGGAGGAGCGTGGCTGGGTGGTCGCAGTTTGGGGTTGGGGGTAATGGCAAGCTCCCCTCCTCTGTGGGATCAGGTGGTTACTTACTCATATTGCCCGTTCCTCTGGGATAGGGTTAGAGCGCAAGGCTCCCGGAGGGGCCCCTTCATCTCCATACCCTCGACAGTATGCGGGCACTGGTTAAGGGTCTCCTCTAGAAGCGCGCCCAGGGAGGGTGGCGCGGTGCGGAGGGAGCCTGCTGCCCCTCTGCCCGCCCCCCTCCCCCGGCGTCTCCTCCTGCGCCACCCCGCACCCCTCGCATTGCTCGGCCTCTGGGCCCGACCGCCCCCGAGCCCCGTCCCCAGGATTCCGCAGTCCCCCGGCCCCCACCCTCAGCTCGGCCTCCCCTCCCCCTCCTCTCGGGCGGATACGGCAAGGGGCTGGGCTCCGACCGGGAGCGGCGGCTCCATTCGGATGGCCTCTGGGCTCAGCGGGGCTGCGGACTGCGGGCAGATCCGACGACGCTGCCTGCCGCCTCCTCTCCCCCACCCGCCGCTGCTGCGCGTCGCTTGAAGAACGGCTCCGCACCGGGAGCCGGGAGCCGAGAGCCTGACCCGAGAGAGAGCGGCGCCTCGCGCCCCGGCCGGTTTTCCAGTCCGCCGCAGATTCCGCCCCCTGCGGCCAACCTGCGGAACTGCAGGGAGAGACCCGACGGACTGGGGGCTTCTCTACGACGTCCAGCAAGGAATGCGTTTTAAATGCTACCTGTGACACCAGAATAGTTTTGGGGACTTTGAAGATGACCACAGAAGAAAAAAACCCAGTCATACCTATGAGGGAACTCACAACGTATTGCGCCAATAGGACCTGTATCATCCAGTCGAAAAATACTTATTAATGCTATACTGCACCGTGGTGGTTATCCTACCTCTCAGATGTTCTTCCAGTCCTCTTTTTTCTTCTACCCCTAAATCGGAAAATCTCCCAAAGCTTAGAGCTTTGTTCCTCCTTTGCGCCCCCTCCAAAGCAACTCTAAGCAGGCAACCTCCAAATCCATATCCCTGGCCCAGACCTCTTACCTAATATATTTCATTGTTAACACAACACTGTATAACAAAACTCATGATAATTTCACACAGACATCCAGGCTTAAAACTGCAAAGCCATGTGCTTTCTTCCTCTCTCCTAATTTCTCTGAATCCAATCGGTCAACAAGCCTTGTTAATATTTTTTTTGCAATTACTTTCACATTCCTTGTTTTCTCTCCACAAGTGCTTTATTGTAAGCCTTTGGGATAGCCTATCTGGGTTACTGCATTTCTCCCAAACAAGTCATGTTGGCTTTAATATCTCCTTTAACCATTTTACTCTGTTCACAGTCATAAGAATATTCTTCCCAGAGTACTGTTTTAATTGTGCCTTAGTGCCTAGTGCTGCTGTAACACAAATATCACAAGTGGATGGGTTTAAAGAACAGAATTTTTTTTTCCTCACAGTTCTGGAGACTAAAAGTCCAAATCAGGGTCTCAATGGTGATTCCTTGTGGGTAGTTCAGGGTGACCCCCCCAAGTGTTCTTATCTCTGTGTCTTAAAACCAACCAACCAGTTGCCTTCGAATTTATTCTGACTCACGGCAACCCCATATGTGCAGAGTAGAACGGCACTCTATAGAGTTTTCAAGGCTGTGACCTTTCAGAAGCAGATGTCAGGCTTTTCATCCAAGGTGCCTCTGGGTAGGTTCGAACTGCCAACCTTTTGGTTAGTAGTCCAGCGCTTAACCATTTACACCAGCCAAGCACTCCTTCTCTGTGTCTAATCTGCTCTTCTTATAACTCAGAAGTTATTAGATTTAGAACCCATCCTACTCTGGTGTGATCTAATTAATGGAACAAAGAAAACCCTATTTCCAAACAAGATTACATGCACAGGTATGGGGTTAGGATTCCAACACATATTGTTTTTGTGGGGCACAATTTAATCCATAACAAACTGTGTTATTAATCTGCTCAGAATCTATAATGGATTAGATATCAAGACTGATTTTAAAGCTGTAGTAACTAAGACAGTACGGTATGGAGATAGACAGATCAATGGAATAGAATACAGACCCACGCATAGATGGAAAGTTGTTATTAAGCATATGTGACATTTCAAATCAGTGGGCAAAGAGTAGATTATCCACTAAAAAGCCCTGGGACTATTGATTATCCATAAGTGTAAATTATAAAATTGGATCCCTACCTCACACCATAGATGGAATAAAAATCATTCCGGGTAGATTAAAGATCTAATTGTGAAAAGAAAAATTTTACAACATTCAGAAGAAAATAGAATATCTTTATGACCTTGGAATAGAGAGTGAGAATGATTACTTAAGATACTAGGGAGCACAAACAATAAAGAATAGATCGATACTTTAACGTCATTAAATTTCAAAATGTACGTACTTGAAGACATAAGATAAAAGACAAGTCGCAGACTGGGAGAAGATATTTTCAATTCATATAACCAACAAAAGATATCTATGAAGCTCTACACTTTTGGCCATCATCACCTTTCTGACTTCCTTTCCTACCAATCTTAGTCACACTGGCTCCTTGCTGTTCCTAGGACTTGACAGGCATATGCTTACCTCAGGGCCTTTGCACTTCCTGCTCCCTCTGCCTGCACCCTCATATCTTTCAGGTCTTTGCTCAAATGTCACTTTCTCAATGAGGCCTTCCCAGACTACTTTATCTAAAATTAGAATTCAACAATCTTTCCCCCTCAAGTACACATGCTCCTTATTCCTCTTCCCTGTTTATTTTTCTCCACAGAATTTATTATTATCTATTATACTAGTTTACTTATCAAACTTATCATTTACCTTTCCCTACTAGAATATAAGCTCCACGATGGCAAAAATTTTGTCTGTTTTGTTTATAGGTGTATTCCCAGTGCCTCGAGCCCTTCCTAGAACAAAGTAGATGCTCAAAAAATATTGATTAAATGAATGAATGAATTAATATTCAGAATGTATAAAGAAGTCGTATAAATCAGGAAAAGAAAGAAGCTTAGTAGAAAAGTTGACAAAATATATGAATAAGCTATTCATAACCAAGGAAACCTAAATAGTCATTAAAGATATGAAAGCATGTGCAACTTTTCAGGGAAATGCAAATTGAAACCATGAGATACTATTTCACAACAATCGGTTTGGCAAAAATTAAAAAATGCAGACAACACTAAGTGTTGTTGATGATGTAGAACAGATAGAACTCTGATCCACTGCTAGGAGTGTAAATTGGTAGAACTGCTTTGAAGAGCAATTTGACAATGTGTAATAAAGTTGACCCCCACGTGCCTGTCAGTTTGTCGTACTGTGGGGGCTTGCATGTTGCTGGATGCTAGAAGCTATGCCACCAATATTCAAACACCAGCAGGGTTGCCCATGGTGGACAGGTTTCAGCTGAGCTTCCAGATGAAGACGGACTAGGAAGAAGGACCCGGCTTTGTACTTCTGAAAAGAATTAGCCAGTGAAAACCTTATGAATAGCAGCAGAACATTGTCTGATATAGTGCCAGAAGATGAGCCCCTCAGGTTGGAAGGCACTCAAAATATGACTAGGGAAGAGCTGCCTGCTCAAGGTAGAGTCAACCTTAATGACATGGATGGAG